AAAAATGCAAAAAAATGCGAGAATTTCTCGTGGAAAGAATTTGGAGTCGATTGAGCTGTCCAATTAGCAAGCGGACCGGGAACAAATCTGTTGCCGAGTCCGGTGATTAGTAGCCCGCCAAGGCCACCGAGGTCCGAAGACGATCACAGGTGGATCTCTCTCTTTTCCCAGGTGGAAGTGATCGAAGAGGCGATCAAGTACATCGACCAGCTCCATTCCTCGCTGCTGGAGCGACTCCAGAAGCGACGCATCCTCCCGTCCCGACTCCAAGGTACGCCCAGTGATTATATATATAATTTAGGGATTATTTAAATAACTCGTTTCTTAACATATAATTAAATGTTTCTCAACGATGAGCCTTTCGAAATGCTGAAAATATTAGGATACCTTTTTGAAAACGCTGACAGATTGGTTGGAAGATTTTATTTAAAAATAGGAACATTTATGGGCGTAATTAAACCGGTCGAATAATTTATTCCCCAATATAATAATAATAATATTAAAGCCGTTATTATTAATATTCCCGACGGAGAAACGAGTCGGGGCTCGGTCTGACGGAGAATTCCGCGTCGAGGGGAGCAGGTGCCGCGTCCCCACAAATTGCCCCGAGTGGGACGAAAAAGAACGTTAAAAGAGGAGAGCAGGGGATGCGAGCCACTCGGGGATGCGAGCCACTTGGGATGCAAGGCACTCGGGATGCGAGGCGGACGTGAGGGGAATGCGGAGGGTGGGGGCCGCATGACCTAGACATTCGGTGCCCCCGCCGCCGTTTTTACTGATTGGGATCTCGGCGAGGGGAGAAGGATTTCCCGGATTTTTTGGCAAATTTTCTGCAATTTTCCTGCAACTTTTTTGCACATACGCGATCGATTGGGCAAGGATTCGGGGTTTCGTAATTGGAGCCGGCCAGCGAAAATCAAAGCTTTCGACTGGTTTTAAGGGAAGTAAGTCATAAAATAAATACGAGGGTAAATATAAAAAAATACGAGGGCAAATACTTCTTCCCACACCGGTGTGGGAGGTCTGAGTAATGAGAATTCCTGGAGCGAACACGACCAATTAAGAGAGGATTGCTCCTTCGTTCTTTTCCGTTCATTAAATAATTCTTATTAGTCGGAATGGTCACGTTTCGTCATTTTCTGGTTCCGTCTGAAAATCGAAAATAATCGATTGCGAGATTAAAAATGAAAGGGGGAGGGGGACACGTGACGGGGGATGTTCCCACTGGGGGACACGTGACTGGGGATGTTCCCACGCCGGACGGGAACAGCTGTTGCCGGGATTTGTTGTTAGCCATTGACAGATGGCTTTCTCGGTCCATTCCCACGGGTGGACTCGGGGGTCCCCCACACGAGTCCACCTGCCCCCACGCGCCTCGTTATGGCATACCTGAGCGATCCGCCTTAAAAGCGGATCCCTGTCGCATTGTTCTTCGCGCGGAAATTTTTCCCCCGTTTTTCTCACTCTATCGCGGCCGTAATTGCTCCGATTTTTATTCAGCGCCGTCGTGGGAATTTCTTATCGCGGACGGAGTTCCCACCTGGCACGGAATTTCTCGTCCCCCCCTTTTTTTTTGTCACCTATCTGCCGTGGAGCAGGGCTGCCAGAATTTCGTTCGCTGTCGCCTCCTCGCGGCAACCCGATACCTCGGGGCATCGCATGTCAAAAGCCGCCTTCCCCTCGTTTCCCCCTCCTTTCTTCGTGAAAAAAAAAAAATGGGAAAGCCGTCGAAAGCCACATGCAGTCCCTCGAAGCCTTCGCCGGATTCCGAGCGGCTTCCACGAAGCTCCAGTGCGACGACCTTGACATGGATTCGGTGCGAAAACATTTGAATCCATTGAAATCCCTCTCGGTCGAAGAGGAAGTGGAATTCCTTCCCTCACTGCCATCAATTTCCATGCCAATTCATTTCTCCCTGTATCCTTTTTAAAGCCTTATTATATCCACCTTGTATCCCTTTTTAAGCCTTGTTTCCACCTTGTATCCCTTTTTACCCCCTCTTTCGCCCGACAGACATTCGAAGTGTGGGAGGGAAGGACCTAGGTCTCGAATCGAGGTTAACGACGAATCGATCCAAATCCGACTGCATCTCATATCCGGTGGCAGCCGAGAAATCCAGATTCTCCACCTGTTTTTTTTATTATTCTCCTCCTGTTTGCAACCCTTTTTTCAGGGATGCGCGACCGTAAACGTCAGGGAGTGAAAACCTGACGCAATGGGGAGACGGGTTGTCACAATAGTTTTCCAGATGTTTCAAGGCAATCCCCCTTCACTTTATGTCTCCACTTGATTTACTCTCTCAACCGGATTTTTTTTTATTTACGCAGGAGTCCCGGTGAACGCGTCGGATCCGAGTTCGGTGCGCCGGTTCGTGCACAACCTGATCGGGTCGACGGGGGGGTCGACGGGACCGCCGCAGGCGACCTCGGTCGACCCGAGCGGGAAGTCTTAGGTCCGATTTTTTGTGATATCCGGCCCCTTTCGTCGAAAAAGACCTTGGATCTCTCGTCTCTTCAAGTTCCACGTTCGAGAAAGTTTTATTTATGGTTTCCGTGCCAAATTCGCATTTTCGCTCCTTCCGAGTTTGTTGCTGAGTTCTGGTGCAATCCCATGTACATACACATGCTTTAGTTTTTTTTTTGTTCAAATAACGATGCAGATGATAATGGCTGTAACCCTGTTTTTAATCGCATCTTGGTGAGTAATAAAACGAATATTTTCAGTACAAATGAAAAAAAAAATCCACGTTTTTCATTATTTATTCCATGTGTAACATTTTATCCCATTCTTTTTTTCCTTGCATGCGAAAGCCTACCTGGCATTTACGAGGATCCCCGAGACAAAGACGACCTCCCGTGTCGAGCCCAGACAATGCTCCCCCTTTGTCTCACATTCAGTAA